GATGTGGGCGGTGACCCCCCGTGCCCCGGCGGAAGGGGAGGAGGGTGACCTGCGAGCCGCTAGGGGAGGGCCGCTCCTGCTGGGTTGGACGGCGGGGCCTGTGGCAGAGCGGGCGTCTCTCCACCCCCTCGCCCTGCCGTCGGGGAGCATCTGTGTCCGGCAAGGGCATGTCAGGTGTGTGAGGGCTGCACAGACCCAAGGGGGACCAGCCACAGCGTGCTGGGGAGCCAGGGCCAGAGGCGCCTGGGAGCCCACCAGCGGCTGGGTGGAGAAGCACTCCTCCCGGGGCAGCCATCACGAGGCCGAAGGCAGTTGCACAGCGGCCTCGTGGGAACCCCGGGGAAGGCAGTGCGCCGCCTGTGGGGCCCTTCAAGGTCTCAGGGCAGGGGCAAGCTCCCACGGCAGGAAGAGGGGACGCGCCACTCGGGGCACCTTTGACGAGCGGCCACCGGCCCCGTGCACAGGCCTTCGCCTGTAACTGTGGGATCCAGACGCTCTCAGTAAAGCCCGTCTTGCTGCGAACAAGTCGGGTGTGGTGATGTTGCATCAACACCCTCCCTCTCCCCACCCACTGGGCATAGCTCACATCCACCTCCCCGCTGCGCCACGACCTGGAGCACCTCCATCCGGGACCCTTGAACTGGACCCCTGATGGGGTGACCTGCCCGCCTCAGCCCCTTGCCTCCACCCCACCCCCCACCTTCACTGCTCCCTCCCCAGAGTCTCCAGCCACCTTGCCGGTTCCGCTCCCAGCTGCCTGCTCTCCCGGTGCCCCTTTGAAGCCCTCAGGCTGAACGAGAACAGTACGCCCACCCCTGGCCCGGATCCCCGGGCCTCCAGTCTTAAACAGGGTCGCGTCGCAATCCCCGCTCTGACCGTCCCCCCAGGTAACCCTGGAGGCGGGGTTCCCCAGCAGAGCGGGCGCTGGCAGTATACCCGTGTGTGTGTCCTCTTGGCCTGAGACCCAGGGCACATCGCTCAGCTGAAATGCTGGTCGGTGCAGCCAGAGGCGAGCCAGAAGCGTCCTGTCCTCCCTACGAAGCTGCTGCCTAGGAACAAGGGTGTTGCTCTGTCTCAGGCCACAGCAGTGGGTCACCCGGGCCAGCAGCCAGTGTGCTGCCCTGCAGGATCCAGCACTCTTCTGGTCCTGACTTGACGTGGGGCACTGAGTGGGCCAGGCCACAGCATGGCCACAGCCAGGAGGTGGGAGGTGGCCTCTGTCCCCTCACTGGAGCCTCCCACGTGCCCAACTGTTGGGTGGGTGGGGACCCCAACCCTGAGCCACAGACCCTCCTCCCTCTGCCCCGACCCCCAGGTCAGGAGGTGAGCTCCGAGCCCGGGGAGAGGCACAGCGCAGTGCCCTCTGGGGTGACTTTCAGGGGAAGGAGCCTTCTGGTGGGGGGAGGCGCTTGCTCATCTCTTCCCCGTGCCCAGGGCTGCCCTGTTTGCAGGAAGACACGGGAACTTCTCTCTGATGGTCACCCCTGGGGAAACATTCGTGGGGGGCCCCGTCCCCAGAGGGGGCTGTGGTGTGCTCACAGGCTCCCCATGGGGGTTCTTGAATCAAATCACTTGGGAAATTAGAGAAGAAACAAGGAATCTTTGCAGCCAGGTTTCTCTGAAGACAGTGGTTCTCCAGAACTCTGAGTGGACCCGGGATTCACTGTCTTCCTGGGGAGCCTGCAGTTCCAAAGGCCCCGCAGGGGTGTGGGAACACAGGGTACACTGAGCAGGATGCCACTGTGGCCATCACCCAGCCCAGCTAGGAGTGGACACTCACGGTGGCCTCACTGAGTGAGATGCGGGCCACGCGTTCACCCTCCCAGCAAAGGAACTGGTTTGCTGGCCTGTGCGGCCAGCATGAGGGTCAGGCCTGCGTGCACCCCTGTGCCCCTGTGGCCCGCCCAGCCAGCCGGGACGGCGGGCACACAGGACCCTGCGCTCGGTCTAGCCCTGCTGTCCCTGTCCTGAGTTCATCCTTGTTCAACAAGGGGCCTGGTCTCTGGGAAGTCGGCATCCTTCTCCTCCTGCAGGGCTGTCACTTTTTGTGTTAGGAGGAAATATCCTTTCTACGTAAAGGGCAAAGCTGCCAGTCAGAGCATCACGGGAGGGAGGGGGGCGGCCACAGCTTCCCCCACGCCGTCCACAGGGACTGGCAGGCAAGGCAGAGTCGGAAAACAAACCTGTGACTCCCAGCCTGGCCAGGGGTGCAGTGTGTGTCAGCCTTCCCTCAGAATGTCAACAGGTAGGAAAGCTGAAACATTGTCACTGCACTGCCCCCATGCGGCCGATGGGTGAGGCTGCAAAGTGAGCACCCCAACACGTGAGCTCCCCTCACTGGACCATCCGACTGAGACAAACGTGCTGCGTGAGGCTTTGATGTCCCCTGGCTGGGCTGTCGGGGGCTGGGACCGTGTCTGAGGGGCTCCCCCCCCACCGCATTTAGGCCCTCAGGGGTGGGCCCCCACCCTGCAGTCGTGCTGTGCGTGCACCTGTGCGCCGGAGCCTCTGGGGCAGCCTTCTGGAAATGCTCTCCAGCACCCGCCAAGCCCCGCCGCCAGCAGAAGTACAGGAAAGGGCTCCAATTAAACTGACCGCGCACGTGTCTGCTTGGGTGGGTGCTGCTCAGGGTTCCATCACCCCCATAAGACGACTCCTGGGCGGCGTTCCCTGGAAAGCTCACAGAAATAGCAGTGTTTTCCGGGGTCTGAAATTGCAGCCTTCGCGTGGTGAGACAGAACGCGAGGACTGAGACGGAAAACTGATGCATCTGTGGTCGGCCTGCCCTGGCTGCATCCCTAGTGGACACCAGGCTTGGAGCGGGCCCTAGGGCTCGCCCTCCCGCACACGGGGGATGGTGGCTTCAGGGGAGCTGCCCGTCAGGGCCACCCTGGACTTCAAGCGGTCATCAGGGTTGAGAGGGGCTCTGGGTTCAGGTCTTCCTGCTCCTCCCAGCCAGGTGACCCCAGCCCAGCAGGACTGAATGGGGGCTGTAGGAACCGTGGGGTTTGGGCTGCTTCCCAGGGCAGGTGGGATCATTGCCTCTGCTCTCTCGACCACGTATACACCTGGCCAACTCTGCAGTGCCCAGCAGACCCCACTCGGCCCCTCCCAGGGTGCTGCCCTGGCCTCAGGCAGCCGGGGAGTGATGCCCAATTCCTGGGCCGGCAGCTCCCCTCCTTCCCCAGCCATGTCCCCTGAGCTGCGCCCTTGGCCTCACACCCCACCCCCACCCTGTTCTGAGAAACTGCTGGGCACATGCTTTCCTGCAAGTGAGGCTCAGGCTTGTTGTCTGTGGGGGGCGGGATCCCAGGTAGCCCCAAGGTCCTGGACCCCTGGTGTGTACACCCTACATGAACCCCACCTTGATTGGGAGAAGGCAGTCTGTGAATATGAGGGACATGCTGCCTTCTATGGCCAAGGTGAAGGGGTTTCACAGATGTAGTTAAGGCCCCTAATCAGCTCACTGAGTTAACAAAAAGGAGTGTCATGGTGGGCCTGCCCTAATCAGGTGACCCTAGCCCTCCCTGATAGACCTCACAGGATCAGGGCTGAGGCGGCTGGAGGCTCCCCTCCCCAGGCTCAGAGACCTTGCTGCCGTCAGAATTCTGCCAACAGGAGCTCAGAAGAGCTGAAGTCCAGGTGGGACCACACCCTTCATTTGGGGAGCCCAGCGGCCGGCTGAGAGGAGGAAGCAGTGACAAAGGAGCTGAGCAAGGGTTGGGCCCTGACACCCAGGCCCTCCTGCAGCTGCCACAGCCTCCGCCTTGGCCTTCTTGCTGCAGGATGGGCGGCTGCTGACACCCTTCTGCCACGTCCCTCTTTCCAGCCCGGAAGGCAGCCTCCTGTGTGCCCAGTGTGGGCACGCCCCGAGGAGGGCTGCGTGGCCCCAGGAAGGCGGCAGCAAGCCTGGGAGGACATGCCCTCGCTGGCAGAGGCCAGCGAGGGGCTGGGGCCTGCACTGTTTACCACATCTCCAAACACGGCACACTTAAGCAAATCCAGTCCAAAACCCCTGGAAATTTAGCTCTGCCACCCCATTCCCCAGGCTGGGCATTGGGTGCCCTGGGAGGGCCTCACCCCAGCACTGCAGGGGTCCTGGGGTACTGGGAAGCACCTGGGCCGGCATGGCATCCCGGCTGGACGTGGATGCGTGGTGAGGACAGGACACGGCTGTACACGAGACAGGGTCCCTGCCGCCCAAGCTCAGCCTCCTAGCCCACATGAGTGCACATACACGTGCAGTATACACACACGTGCACACATAGGCACATGGGCACACAAGTGCACAGGCATGCTCACACAAGCACACGCACGTTCACTCACAGGCACACACCCAGGTTTCTGGGCCCTGGGAACTGGCCTCTAGTCTCTCCAGAGGCTCCGCCTCTTGGGGCTCCCTTCTTGGGGGACTGTCCCTCCTCGGCCTGCCCCAGGACCCCCGCATGCTCATAGCAGGCAGTGAGACCACAGGGGCCCGGCTCCAGAACTGGGCACCCAGGGCCCCCCAAGCTCTCAGCAACACGGTGAGGCTGGCGTGCCCCCAGCGCAGGATCCACCCCGCCAGGCCTGCCGCCCCCTGGAGTGGCTAAGC